ATGAAGATAACTTTGAACTAGTCTTACCTTTAAAGAAATACACTATACATTGCTAATGTGGTAAATTACTATTCTAGCTGCAAATGTCTGGTTTTTGGTTCAATATCTACATAGGTGTACAGAGGCCCATTTCTAGCAACTATCACTCCAGTGTTCTAATGGTACAATGTGTTTGCTCATTGGCTCAGTGGGGTTAATTGACGATTAGAAAACCCTTGTGCAATCATGTTCACACATCTGAAAACAGTTTAGCTCATTACAGAAGCTACAAAACTGACCTTTCTTTGAGCGAATTGAGTTTTTGGAGCATCTCATTGTGGGGTCAATTAAACAGTCAAAATGGCCAGAAAAAGAGAACTTTCATCTGAAAGTCGACAGTCTATTCTTGTTCTTAGAAATGAAGGCTATTCCATGCGAGAAATTGCTACGAAATTGAAGATTTCCTACAACGGTGTGACTCTCTAAAATGTGATTAAATATATCTTGAACTGTTATTTTTCCCTAGGCATAATATAAAAATATAAAACATCATTAAGGGTAGTCAAAATTTAGAAAATAATGTTTGTCTATTCTATTAAAATGTCTGTATGTCTAGAATGGATTTGTATTGTGAGTTGTCTTCTCAATTCAGAGGGCCCCATGCCTGTGTTCCCTTACAAATGCTTATGAGGTAAATCAGCTGTGTGGATATGGTCTGCTTGTGGTTTCCGCCTGAAGGGAATGTTTCCTGTCGTTTAGGGCTGCAATAAAAAATTATTTTGCTAATCGATTAATGTGTGGATTATTTTTTTTCGATGAATCAATTAATAATCGCATAGAAAATGTCAGGAGCTCAGGATGTTAGATCTAGAATTCAAGCAGACAGATTTGAAACAAACTTTTATTTAAACAAAGGTGCGGCTGCTCGTCAGCTGGGGTGGGCTCACTGGATTCTCTGTAGATACTCAGACTCAGGTCAGTAACTCCAGAGCTCAAACGTTCAGTCGAAGCCCAGAAGAAGGAGTGAAGTCCAGAGCAGTGTAACTGAGCCGATTCCAGAAATCCATCAGAGAAGAGGAACAGCGACCAGCAGCAGCCAAAACAGGCAGAGGAATTGAAGGATCCAGAGGGACAAATCCAAGCCAAGGTCAGAAGACTGGTCCAAGAACGATAACAGGCGGAATCCAGGTAACAGTCTGAAAACAGGACAGGCAAGGGAGATGATTGTCGATTCCCAAAGTAACAAGAACAAAATGAATCCTTTAAATACCTTGGTTCAACTGTGAAGCCCTTTACAAACAGGGACAGAGAGCACACTGGACTTCTATTTTAAAGGAAGATTATGTCCTTCAGCATTTGCAGCAATATACTACATATCCTGTTGTGGAGAGTTTGATCTCTTCCTCTCTCATCTGCTGAGGTAACAGCATCACAGCAAATTAATTAAAAAAGCCCAACAAGCTGGTAAAGAAGACCCGCTCTGTTCTAGGAACTGTTATAGAAACTGTGGAGATGATTTCACAAATCTTCATGAAGTGAAGTGAAGAGAGTCATGGACAGAATTGAGCATCATCTGCACCAAACTGTGAAAGAACAACAACAAAGTGTCTTCAGTCAGAGGCCAGTGCAAGACCAAAGATTCTTGCTGCCTACAGCTATCACCAGCTGTTTAAAAAAAAAACAAAAAAAAAAACATATGACTTACTACAACATTTCTGCTCTCAATATCTCTTTAGGATTAATAAAGTAGTTTTTAATTGAATTGAAAACAAAAAGCCCCTAAAAGATTTTTTTTAGAATTGAGAAAACAGTTATACTGTATGTTAGAAAAGTGATGTGTGGGCAGTGAATCTTAAGATAACTCAATCACAGCGGCACCAAACAGCATTGTTTTAAAATTTATAATATCAGAGCTGGAAGTATTTGCGCTCCGGCAAACAGGTTTTTCCAGAAGCATATGTCTTTCCTGTTATGTGGTGTGCAGATCTCAGCCGAAAAGTTAGAAAAATTTATTTAAATTGGAGCTTGGAGAGATCTGCTCCATTCCCTAAATGGTTTCAATAGAATCAGAACCAGATTAAAAATGTGCAAAAAGGAGTGTGTTACACATTTTCAATCTGGCTGAACAGGCTATTGGATTAGGTTGCATGGTAGTTAAATAGATTCATGTAAAGTAAGAGTAAAAACGAAAAAAATTTTTAAAACAAAGGAAATATAGAGCTGATTATTAATATTATCATTCGATCAAAAAGGACTATAGATTTTAATAAATTATAACTTGGAGGGATTTTTACAAAAGTATTTACACAAAAAACAAGAATGTATCAAAATTTATATCATTATTCAAAGTCTTATTATGAGACTGATGTTTATTCTAAAGTTGGAGGTGTTCATGATGATTTTGTAATCTCTGGTTCATGGTGCATCTTTGGAACTTACATAAACTTGACATTTAGGGGGTTAATTCCCTAAGGCCTTTCATTTAGGGAATATAGGCACACATTTATTTATCTACTGCATTATTGCTTTAACATGAGTGAGGTAACTACTTCCAAAACTGTCCTGCATTTTGCATTAACACATCTAGCTGACAGCAACTTAAACCATTAACTGGCCCACATCTGGCACGCCACATATGAACTGTACCATCACTGCCAGAATTGGTCCGTTTCTGGCTGACATCCCATTTACCATGACAGACGTTGACTGATATGCCAGCTTGATGCCAGATCTGGGCCAGGTTGGTCTGCTATGTGGATAGGATCTGATTTTAAATTTCTTATATTTGGGGAAGCTGTTGGTCTTGAAAATGATAACAGAGAAGACGTGAAAGGGTACGAGGAGGACAGGGGAATCTGATCTGACTCACAGGAGGGGAAATGATGACATCAGGCTGACCATAGAAGAAGTGGCAGCATCAGGCTGACCTTTCGGGGAGGTCGTGGCAATCCTCTGGCAGCGCCACCTACAGTCGGAGGAAGAAGATTGCAGTGGAGGATTAGCAGCTGGGGAAGGAGGAGGAAGAGTGCAGGGGTTTTCCCTTCCAGCTATCATAAAATCTCTCTGCAGTACTTTGAATGACAACCAAAGAAAACAAAGCTATCTCCTGTACAATGTAGAGTAGGTGGTGATATCTTCTATTGCCTTTTAGCAGGCGATAGTGACTGTGTGGGGAGATGGCAACACTGATTACAGCATCATATCAAACACCATCAGCAACATCAGCACCACAACATGCACCAAAATCACAAGTTACTGATCCGCTTTAAAAACTAAGCTTAATTCGAATCAAAATCAATTTAACTATACGAAAAGGTCAAACCCCCGTTTAGATATATGCTGCCATGAAACCAATATTTTATGATCCTATCAAAACAAAAAGTGTGGGATGATAATATGAAAAAAAAAATTAAAAACTATTGTTCACAAGGGATTGAAGAATTCTGGATATTTAAAAATAAACATTATTAAATCTTTTCCTTTTTTGGGGGTAATTGTTCCTTATCTAAGGAAAGCCAGCTCCATCAGCTGGGTTTCCTTAGATAAAATATAAGCTGCATATGATCAGCCATAAGAAAACTACTCAAAGTTAGAGGAGGTACAACCTGAAGCCATTCTAATGGAATGATAACCACTAATAACAGCTTTTAAAAGTTGATCACATCCGAAATGGTTGACACAATAACTAAGCATGGCCTTTGGTTAGAGTCATAATGTGTATTCCTGACTCTTAGGTAATATTAAATACATTAAATAATTTTAATAAATGTTTAAATGCAGTGCAATGACAGAAAAGCGAACAACAAAACAACTGTAGAGCCAACTGTTAATATTAAAAGTGTGTTTTCATTGTGAATTGGGTTTTATATGGGGAAACTGTTGAGGTACGATATGGCCAAGCAAAGATTCAGTTTGACTCACTTTTCCCGTTCTGATTCACACATCTTGTTTGCGGGTCTTCATAGATGCTATATTCAGTATTAATAGAACAATTGAAAGTCCCCATGCCCTCCCCCCCATTTTCTTTTCTGGTAATGACCCCTTTAAAAAAAGAGAGAGCCTAGTACCGGTGGTCATATGGGACATTATAGGAAACTTATAGATACTTGTAGGGACCAGTCACGGCTTCCCATTAGGAGAACTTCTCTTTTTGGGGTGGGGGTTAAGTTTAGGACTAAGGTTTGAATTGAGTTTAGGTTTAGGGTTAGGTATGTGTTGGTAATGGTTAGGCTAAAAGTATGGGTTAGGCCATTCAAATCATTGAATGTCCCCACAAGGATAGTGTGACACAACATGTGTATGTTTGTGTAGGTGGTTGTGGGTGTGGCTGTTGGGGTGGTTGGAGTTTTAATGTTTTCTGAATGCCAAACAGGGCCAAGATAACTTGGTAAAATCTATAGAAACTTTTTATGTTGGTATCAAGCCTCATGATATTTAAATATGTTTTAGACACAGCATAGTGTTCCACATGACTTTCTGTTTTGATGCAGAATAGTTTGCAAAACTGTGAAACCTTAAATTAGTTCAAATGCATTCTAGAAATAAACATATCTGGGCCAATGCTGTTTGTCTGACATTTACTAAAATTACATTTACACATCTATTCTTTCTAAGTGAGAATGTGAGATGTTACAACTGGTTCTTACTATCTGCAATGTTAAAAAAAAAACTACTATTACTGACATAAATAGTTTTGTGTTTAAAGGGAACAAGCTATTTCAAAGTACGAGGGGTTTTCAAATTAGAAGTATATCAAAATTTTCACAGTGCATGTGGTGGAAAGAGGTGATTATTTGTTTAGATATGTATTGCTAGCAGTACTACGGCTAATATATGTGTAGTGTGGCCACAGTAGTGGTATGCAGACGATGTCACTTCAGTGACGTGTGAAAGGTCAGCTCATTGTTTCCCCTTCCCACCATGCGGCTGCCGTGACGATCCCCTCTTGTGGCGGGGTATGGTTAAGGTGGGAGGGAGAGGGGTAGTATAAGACGAGCTCAGATCAAAACCGAGGTTTCAGAGAGTGAAAGAACTCTGCAGCTTGAAAGACATTCACCACGTGTTTGCTGTTTGAGTAAGACTTGTTGAAATCTTCTCACTTGTATACATTTCAACAAACGGGGGGATAATTTACAAAGAAACGGTGCTCACTGAAAATCGACGGATAACCACTTAGGATCAAAGTACTCTGCCCAAAATGGAGTTCAGCCTGATTTTATTCTCTATTCTTTCTTTCACAACATGGATGAACTTGGTACAAGCAAGTAAGTACAAAAAAATACTAATAGAAAAATGCTAATCAATTGACTAGCCTGAATATCAATACTTATTAATCTGTCTCTGTTATCTTTTCAGTGACGGGACCTGTAAATGCATGTCCGTGTGTTTTCGTCTCTGAAACAATAGTCCATCATTCTAAAATTGAAAGGCACGTAATACAGAAGGAAGGCATCTGTACTATTGAAGCAATTGCGTAAGTAATCAACATTTTAACACTGTCTTAAACATAGCAATGATACCTGATCTCATGGAAATATCTCTTTCCATTGGGGCAAAAAAGAAAACAAATTATTTTTGTGTTGAAGAAAGTTTTGATTTTAGCTCTTCAGTTTGTTTTAGTGCACGACAGTATTTTTTATTTGATCTTCCAATTCTTAAAGTCCTTGCAACATTACAAAAAACACAACTATAGCAGCGTGGGCTATCAGATATGTTACCAGGGGAGAGAGAAGCATTTTTTTCACCCAAAATGATGAACACTGCATTAAAAAAGATATAGATCTATTTAAAACTAGATTATATTGATTTTAACACCTAACAATCATTTCAGGTTTTGGTTAACGAATAGAAAGTTGATATGCTCGAAACCTGATAACAAGTGGGCAATAAATGTGCTGAAGAAAAGACAGCAGAAAACAACAGTAACACCAAGATCAAAAACGCCAGCATCACCAACTTCAATACTGTCAACACCTACATCAGCCCCAGAAACTGAGCCATCATCCACACCAACAGACGCTCTATTAGTGACAGCAACAGAACTATCAAGCCAAACATTATTCCCAGGATCAGAACCAACATCAACACCAAAGACAACAGCACCAAGATCCCAAACACCATCAACACCAACATCAGCACAGTCATCAACAATAGTAACATCAACAACAACATCAGCAGAGTCATCAACAAGAGTAAGATTAAGCTCATCGTCGTCATCATCATCATCATCATCATCATCATCATCATCATTCCCAGGCTCAGAACATACATCAACAACATCAACATCAAAGACAACAGTACCAAGATCCCAACCACCGTCAACACCAACATCAACACTGTCATCAACAATAACATTGAGCTCATCATCATCATTCCCAGGATCTGAATCAACAGCAACATTAGCACCATCAACATTAACATTCTCAACACCAACCTCAGCACCGTCAACAACTTTAACAGCAATATTACCATTAACATCAAGACCAAACAACCTTGCTACTGTGCCTAGTACAAGGACAGTAAGTGATCGTATACGAGCAACGTTCATGGCCAGACGAAAAGCTTTCACACGAAGACGTTTTACAACAAGGAGGCGACCAAAAAAGAATCTGAAGGCATGGCAGAAAAAGTGTTCAAAGAAATCGCTGTAAATGCTGTCAGCCAAGTTTGTGCTACAAAATATCAAATGCAATACTAAAATCCGGAGGCTTTCAATACTATGCAGCTCATAAAACTTTAGATAAACTGAGTATAAAGGGTTCTAACACTTGCAATTTTGTTTCCTTCCCTTTTTCTATCTCATTTTTTTTTGCAGCTTTTTCACAGCAAGTATCTTAAACATAAATATTGTATTGTTACCCCTCCAGGTGTCCTGCGTGGGTAGATAATCAAAGCTATAGCACAACAAAATAATTGCAAAGCTTTATATCTGCACAACAATCCTGTAAAAAGTTATAAAATCATATTGTTTTTTATAAATCTGTATGTAAAATGAATATATGTACTTTCTATGTATTTTAACGTACTATTAAATCATAATTTAAAGTACTCGTTTTGCTGTAAATCATTTGCACTCTTAATAGGAATTAACTTATCATAATGTCTTAGAATAGTTTTTTAACTAAACATGTTTATTTGTTGATTTGTACAGTTCAGACTGGGTCTTAGCATGCTTGCACACACAGGAAGGAAACCAGCTGAGATATAGAGCTGATAATAGAGACACCGGTAGCGCTGTAGATAAATGTCAACGTCAGAAATGCAGATTTTGTGAAGAGTTAAGGTCAGTGGAACTTTATGTTAATCGACTATGGTTAGAAAGGAATGTCTAAAATAACTAAATTATAATAGCAGTTTGAGTGGTTGGGATGTTCTGTCACTTCTCTTCATACATTAGGAGCGATAGCTTTTCATATTTATCAGGACCATGACACAATAGAGTTTTCTGATCTGGTTATAGAGGAGATATGATCAGCTAATGCAAAAGTGCAAAAATTAGACCTGGTGTTCCCCCAAAAAATATAGTTTGTTGGTTTTTGCAAGGTAAAATAAATAAAATAACTGTGACATATGTTAGAAAAGGCAGCATCAACACCTGGTAGCAGTTCATGATGTTTTACATTTACCTATAAAAAGAATGGATCTGAGACAGATATGCAGCCATAGGGATACTTAAAATTCCTGGTTTATTCGAATGATTTTACGACTAAAGGCAAAGAACATTCTCACCTCCGAGTAAAACTGAAAACGTATCACGCTTCCATCAACCAAGGAAAAATAATTAAGAATTAGTTATGTTATGCTAAGTGTGTTGTATATTTCAAAAAATCTCTCAGATAACAAATTACTCAACAATGGGATTGGAGGAGGATGGATGTGTTAGAAAGACATAGTAAAGGAATATGAGTAGGACGAAAAGGGGTCAAAGGGATGGTTTAGGACAAAGAGGGTTTAATGAATTGGTTGAGAAGAATTGGGATCAAAAAAGGAGGAGAGAAAAGACAGATGACATGAAGATTGAAGAGTATTAAGGGCAGCTATTAGGAAGGAAACCGGTTTAAAATGTAACATGAACGATGGGTGTGATGAAGAGGGCTGGGCAGGAACAGGTAGATGGAAAGCGGTAATAAAGAGGAATGGTTTGAAAGAGTTAGTTGCAAAGGCCTTGAGTGAGGAGGATGAAGGGAATGGGAGCATTTTGCAAAAAAGGGTAAACGATGTAGGAAATTGATAAGTTGTGAAAAAAATCAATAGAAATAACTTAGAATAGAATAGAAAATCCCTTTTTGTCCCACAATGAGGAAATGCTGGTGTTTACAGCAGCAACGAGATTATAAAAAACATTGTCAGACAAATGTGTATAAGAAAAACATAATAGTGCGAAAGTTAAAAAATAAACAAAAAATACTGTACTGTGTTTTAACAATATAAATACTCTACACCTGGAGAATAAATAACCAATATTTTTACAGTAATGGACATTTGAAAATAGCAGCAACATTTCAAATGTGCAAAATGACAGCAGCATGTTATGTAACTGACTAAAATAGAAGAGTGTAACAACTTATTGAGGTTGTTAGGAACAGTGGTGAGAAGTCTTACAGCTGCAGCGAGGAAGGATCTGTGATAACGCTCCCTGATACATTTAAGGTGCAGCAGTCTGTCACTGAAGAGGCTCTTCAGCTCTGCAACAGCTTCATGCATGGGGTTGGGGACATTTTCCAACAGAGATGTTAATTTGGTTAGGATCCTTTTGTTTTATTTAGTAAGGATCCTTTTGTTTATTGTTAAATTATTAACAGTCAATGAGGGTGACATTGCAACATGTGAAAATTTTGTGCACAAGTCTATTCACACACATTCATTTAATTTATGGAGCGCTTTTTAAAGCCAAGTATTTATGTTGAATAATAATACACTAATGATATTAAATAATACTTTAAATAATAGTTATACTTTTGATAATGTAGCTCATCAACTGTGTGTGTTTTCTGAGCTCCTAAGGCTGGACTGGTCCAAACCAATTTCTTTATAATTGCCTTTACAACATGGCTAATGTACAGCTATTGTTTCCACTTTCAGCTTAGCTTTTAGCAAATAAACCTTTGATTGAAGCATAGAGCAAATGTTCTTTTTAAAGAGAATAGATGTCTTTTTTTTCTTTCCAGCTTATCATGAGGTTGTCATTGCACTATTACAAGTACAGAGCGACGAAATGAACTCTGGGCTGCCATTGTGCGGCACCCGGGGAGCAGTGTGGGGGTTAGGGGTCTTTGCTCAGGGACCCAGAGTGGCAGTCTGTGGGATTGGGGCTCGAACTCAGAACCTCAGTATTCCAAGCCCTAACCACTAGGCTGCCACTCCCTCCTATAGATGTCATTGCAGTTTTTTGTAGTGAGAGAAAAATAACTGATGATTGCGGTCGATAAAATCTCCAAATGAATATATTTATAGACAACAACAAAAACTGGTGCATTTTTCTGCTGTCTTCCCTCAAAAATCAAATGGTTTCCACACCCATGAGATCTCCTTGTGCTTTCGAGTCTTTGCAGGATGTCCTTTAATAGCAGCATAGACATTTCATTCACAAAGGCTATAAATAAAGCAAGTGAAGAATTATGGATATCCTCATTTTACCATGCCTGACTATTTGACATTTGTTAAATGCAGAAATAGAACTTGTTAAAATAGGGTAATTCTGGATTAGCACCCTAAAGAACAGTTGGCTAAGCCACTGCTGGATAGATTTGATCTAAAAAAAAACAAAAACAAAGCTTTCTTTAAACCCGTGCTTTGTAATTAAATGTTTCTTTGAATAAACGGTTAATTAAATAAACTGAAGTAAAAATTTGATTTGTAAGACAAACTTCTATGAGCAGTGCATTAAAATGAACCATTTTAAGTTTTCAGATGATAAAATTAATATAATAGAATATTATGAAAAACGGATTATTTTTATTTGGCAGTTGGAAGTCATGATTATTGGTTTAACATTTGGAAACTAACTATTTCATTTTAAAATGAACAGATTCAGATTTCTTTGAAGGCTTAATGCACAAAACTTGTGTGTGTCTGTGAGAAAGTATCTGAGCTTTTCAGGGCAAATGTGGTGGAAAGTGATGATCTCTGTTTTAGGTGTAGAAATGATCATGCTTGTGTTTGTTTCACTCTAAGCAGGTCTGTGATAAACAAACTGCTTGCAACAATTGACTTTTGAGAGTTAAAACATTTCTCCCTCCCCACTGTGTAACCACAGTGACATGTTCTATAGGGGCAGGATATGGTTGAAAGAGGAGAGGGGCTCTTGTAACGGCACAGAACAGGTACATTTCTATGATTCTTCAATCTCAGGGTCCTTGTAAAAAAACAAAAACAAAAAAAACATGCTCAACAGTTGCCAACTGAAGGATTTATTCTAAAGATGCATCTCAGATTGATGTTAACAGTTCTTCTCTGTTTCACTTCGTGGGTGAACTTTGTCCAAACATGTAAGTCATGAAAAAAGATTGATTGAGTGGAATATGTTGTAGTAGAAATACCATTACTTGACTGAACATAGCTCTGTTGTTTTTTTGTTGTTGTTTGTTTTGTTTAGCTGCTGCATGTGCAAATAACTGCTGCTGTATTAGTTGGTCCACGACTCAAGTTAGATGGACTCAAATTAAGAACTATGCCATTCAGAGGGAAAACCGATGTCTCATCAATGCAATTGTGTAAGTATTCTCAAAATTTCACTGTACCTTCCACTTTCAGCTATGTCCCAACTTCTTATTGCCCTCACTTATAAATATAATGAATTATGGGTGTTTTTTCTTTTTTTTTTTTTTTTTTTTGCATTTTGAATGCTCTAAAAAGTACCTTTAAGTAATTTAACTCATGCTAGCTTGTACAGTTCAAAATGCCAGCCTATGAAGAATGATCCTCTTTCCAGCCTCTCAGGTTGTTTAAAGCCACCTGTGTTATTGTGTCTAAATAATTACACAAATAAGGTTGCTACTCAACAAAATGATTTTTGTCAGAGAGGATTACATTACTAACTGTAGTATCATAAAAGGTTAAATATTAATAACAATGCCATTAATATGCTATGTGATACATCTAGGACACATTTATCACATGTTGAACTGTTGTATTTTGTGTCTTTGTATTTGATTGTCTTTGGGGTCATTTGGAATGTTTTATGTGGCTGTTTTGGTCAGGTTACTCTTGGAAATTAGGTTTTAACCTGAACATCTTTTTCCTGGTTGAATATAGAGACTACTACCACTAATATTCACAAACTATTGCAGGTTTGAGACAAAGAGTGGGCAGATAATTTGCAGCAATCCCATCAACAAATGGGCAAAGCAGGTTATTCGGAAAATGGAAACAGAAGCGATATCATCAGGAAGCAGTGACCAGGGGGAATAAGACATTGGCATCAACAACAAGGAAGAAATGTATGGAAATAAATCTGTATCGCTGGGATTCAAATTAAAAATGCCACTGAAATATAAATGTTGTTTGTTTTTTCTTACTCATTCAGTGTTAAGATATATTCAGAAAACATTTTCAACCTAAAAAAAAAAAAAATTATTGTCACTATATTTATATAGTTGAAATTTTATTTTCATTTCAAGCTAAAAAAAAATTACATTACTATTTCAAATTGAATACACTTTCAATATCCGTTTTTCAGTTTGACTTTTCAGTGTTAAAAAATCAGCATATAAAAAAATTCAACCTAACTAAATATTTTTAGCTACTGAGAAGTTGTGAAGTGACCAGAGGTTCTAAGAATTCAGGAAACATAAAATACCTTGAAGAAGATTGTGCTGATGAGGTATTCAAGGGTGTGTATGAAAAAAATCTTGAAAGAAGAGGTGAAGATTATATGAAAATTCAAAAAGGAAGATGAAAATATTGCTCTGAGCCGAATCAAACTCTGCAAGATGGAAACTTGCTAATCGTTTGCAAATCAGAAGAGAAAAAAGTAAAGCAATGATTGTTGAAAGTATCAGAAAAAATGAGTAGAAAGTTTAAGAGTGTTGGGAAAAAGAAAGTATTGCGAGGAGTTTTTATGGAATTCCGGTTGTTAAAGAAAAATTAAAGCACAACATCCATTATGTTAAGGTTAAGGATATAAAGAGATTGCAGAAAAAGGTAAACATTGAAAGAATTGACAGCTTATCTCTGCTTCTGGAATTTTCTACTCTGGAAGTTCCAAATAGAGTCAAAGTAGGTTTTCTGTGTTATCCAGTCAGGCCCTACATTCCACCTTTACTTCAGTGCTTCAAGTGTCAGAGTTATAGTCACATTGCTGCAGTTTGCAGGTGCAAACAGAAATTTTTAAAATGTGGAGGGGAGAACAGAACACAAGATTGTGGTGAAAATGTCCAGGATAAATACTGTAATTGTGGTGGACAATACAGGGCAAAATATAGGGGATGTGAATTAAGGAAATAAGCACTTGAGGTTCAAAAAGTGAAAAACAGTTATGCTAAAGCATTAAAGAAGGTGCAGGAGAAGCAAAATAAAATGGTAAAAACTAAACCACTTACAGTATAATGAAATAAGAAAACTAAGGGATATTAGGCATAATAATGTTTCTTTTTATATATATCTGGCTGGTTAAGTAGCTTTCAGAGTGTCTTAATGACCATGTTGAGATTAATTTCTTCAGTAATAAGGGGATGGCATATACAATAGAGCAGAAATATATATGAATAAAGCTTGGTAGTGTTTAAATGTGATTGAGGTGTAGTATGAATGAATCTGCTATACATAGAATGTAATGAAAATGCAAATAAATAATTTTTCAAAATAATGTGTTCTATTTGTACATCAACATAACATCTTACATAACATCAAACATCTGCTTTTGTACCTATTTAGCATAACAAAGCCAAAGAGGTGGCAACACAGTACCTTTAGTTATAAGAATAGTTTTAATGGAGTTTATTTAAAAGTAAACCTAAAAGGTAAAAAAAAAAAAAACACTAAATAAACAATTGTTAAATAACTAGCTTCAAATGACTTCATTACTAAGCTTTAGTCCATGGTGTGCAGGTGACAGTAAAAAAGAAATCCAAAGGTTTTCTCAAGATTCAAAATACACCAGAAATTAGTATTACAACTATTTTTAACATGATATAAATCTATGTGCCTGATTTAAATTTTGGTCGTCTACAACAACTCTCTGTATATGCTTGTTAGATCATTTAAGAAAACCTTGGTGAAAAAATTGTATTTGTTTTTCTTTGCTTCAGAGGCCATCAGTATCACATATTGCCTTGACCATATTTGCCTTTCTAAATATATTTCTCAAATATCATCACTATTAAAGACGGTTCTGGACTAATTTCAAAACTCACTTAGAAACAGAGACATGCACAGATAGAAACTAGGTGGTGCTATAGATCCTGCCCTTTTCCCCTCTGGACAAAAAAAGCGGTCTCCTGAAATCGATTTTTTATTTTTTTGGTCCTTTTAGTCTTTTGTAATTTTGCCCTTCACCGGGGCAATAGAGCCTTGCCCTGGTGAAGGGCCAGCTAACCGTCCAGGTAACTAAACAAGCGTAATTACCTCCTTCACCAACAAGCTAGTTCATAGCATAATGTCTGGCCTCTACCAGGTGCCAAAGAATCATTTAAAATGCAGCTCTTTTATTAAATTAGAAAAAAAATTTAATTTAAAGCATCTCATAGATGTAATTATTGATTTGCTATATTGGTCCCTGACAGTGGTGGGCAGTTAGGGCCTTCAAATCCTTCTCTGCTGCCCTAAAATCCATCAGAAACACTAACCTACATTCACAACCTAAACTTAAATTTTCTTCTAACTGTATTAATTATTATTCGAGATAACCTTGTTCTCTTAATTTTGTAGCATTTCTCTTGGTTGCGCTGCTTCTTTTACATTTATGTGGTTGCTATATGTTTTGTCCAATCAGATTTGAGCCTCTGTTCGTTGCTATGTCAATAAAATCTACCCTGTACCTTTAAAATCAGCAGTGCTAGCCAACGTTAACTTATCAATATTAGTGAGGGAGATTTTCTTTAACCAATCAGATTTATGCTCTACATCACGGATGTCAAACTGGTTCCAGAAAGGGCCATGTGGCTGCAGGTTTACTTTCCAACTTAGCAATAGCACACCAGACTCCATTAATCTTGTCAAGTCATCATGTTAAGACTGGACTCACTTGATGGGATGACTGGAGTCTGTTGAGCTATTGCTGGGTTGGAAAGAAAACCTGCAGCCACACGGCCCTTTCTGTAACCAGTTTGACACCCCTGCTCTATATTATCTGATAATTAGATGCATATTAAATCAATTCAGCTCCTGATAATGTAATGTTTCTGATCTGTAGTTATAAAATAGAGGATTGATTTTGCCTTTCCTGGGCTGCTTCTAATTGATCTCTGTATTCACCCTCAATCTTGCTCTTGGTTATAGCTGCACTTGTTACATTTAATATTTGAATATTATTGGTGGTTTATATTATTGAAAGGTGGAAGTTGGTGATATTAACCCCTTTAAACACTTTTTTCATATATGCAACAAAGCCCTTGCATTACCAAGATAGCATGTGCATTCCCTCAGTGCCAGCTATGTTGAAATCCGATCATCACACATTTAAAGACAAATGTAAACTAGAAGGAAATGTGTGGTACAGCATAGTCTGTTCCTTGCACCTGATAACTCAGAGAACTAAGCTCAGGTAAAGAGATAATTTGTTGTGAGAGACAATGAACTCATGTTTACTGTTGATAAAATCTTCAAATGGATATAATTATAAACAATAATAAAAAAAAAACTGGTGCATTTTACTTTCATAGTTTCCTTCACAAATCAGATGGTTTCCACCTATGAGATCTTTTTGTGCTTTTGTGTCTTTGCATGTCTTTGAATAGCAACGTAGACAATGTTTTCACAAAAGCTGTAAATACAGCAAGTTAAAAATTATGGATAAACCACATTTACCTTTCCTGAATATTCAACTTTTGTTAAATGAAGAAAGAGAACTTGTTCAAATATGGCAATTCCTTGGGCTAGCACACTAAAGAACAGTTGACTAAGCCACTGCTGGATAGATTTGATCTAAAAAAAAAAAAAAAAAAGACTGTCTTTAAACCTGTGCTTTGCAGTTTTGTTTCTGTTAAGTCAAAGTTAAAGAGTAATCCATACATAAGAACTAAAGATATATTTTTAAGTCAAACTTCTATGAGCAGTGCATTAAACTGAACCAATTCCAGTTTTCAGATTTCAGATGATAAAAATTGATAAAACAGAATATTATGAAATATTATATTATGAATTTTAATGACGGTTGGAAGTGATGATTGCTGCTTTAACGATATTGAAATGTAATTCATTTTAAAATGATCAGAGTCAATTATTTTTTCCAAAGTTTAATGCACAAAGCATTTAACACTAGATGTCCCAGAGATTTTCAGTTTTCCTGCAAGCCCCTCTCCCCTCTGCAAGTTTGTGTATTCACTCTACCTTGCTAACTGTCCCTATTGTAATGCAAATAACCTGTGATATGACCAGCCCTTCTACATGAGACTGGATAAAGGCTGAAACAAACTGGCATCAAGACCATGTTCCAAGCACTTTTCAGTACCTGCCCCTGCAACATCATACCTTTTTGCAGGTCATATCTAAATCTTTTATTTAGGCAAACCTATTGAACAACCAGATATCATAGAGGTCCTAGTTCCTGAGCTGAGAACAGGTCATAACCATGCTTTTCCAACAAGGCAAGGCAGAGCCTATTTCTATTGTCCACTCACCAACAGACTAATTCATATTGCAAAGCTCACTATATGAAAGAAAGAATAATTGTATTTTGTCTTGTCTCGCCTTTTTATGTCATTCAAAATTTAATCTTAGAGAATGACAAACAGTATGCCTTTAGTATTGGAGTAACATTTATGTCACAAAAGGAACAGCCCTAGTCTCTTCATCTCACAATGCTGTCTCATGTGTTCTTCCTTTATTGCCTTTTCTTGCATACAAATGTTACCAAGTTCATTTGCAAGTAGCAGAATTAACTTTGGTGGACTCTCTTTGGTCCCTGTGCACGGCTTGTACAACACATGCTCGTCTGTTGCAGCCAAGCTTGTACGCCAAGCCAAGCCAAGCTTGACATCTCAATAACTCTGAGTCGATCTGCTGGGCCTATTTATTCTCGGAGCTAGACTTCCCACCCACAACCTTTACATTTCCACCTGCCGCCAGATTGGAATTTGAGCTGGAAACGGGTTTCCAGCACAAAACCGGCTTTCCGCTGGAAATCGAGAGCGGATGATGTTTGCTTGTTTGCCATCTAGTAAATGGGGCAGATGGTCATTGTTGTATAAATATTCTTGTCAGCTGATGGAGATATTTTCATTGTACAGATCAGTTGGGGGGACTGGAGCCAAATACCACCCCAAACAGCTCAATTTTGAAAAACAACAGACAGAAGTTATAGCCTTTTATTTCAGATAAAGAAAAACAGTCTACATATG